ATTTTTAAAAAATTGAAACATGTAATTTGATGTTTCAACGGTTGAATTTTATGCAAGAGATGTAAAACACGTGTTTCAGATTCTTTACTCTGCATGTGACTCTACACGTACATACTGCAAGCCTAAAGAATTAAGTCTAATATTGTTCATTTATCTTGCAAAACCCAACATGGAGCATAGACTATCTCAAACCGTGCCCAATTTTATCATACTTTATTTTAAATTCAAGGTATTAAAGATGTGGTTTCATTGGCTTTTATTAAAATCTAACGTGTGCACGCCCAACTTCATATGTTTTAGCCATTGTACATTTTTTCTACGAAGGAGAAAATCGTTTAACTCGTGATGATACTTCTCCTAAAACTTCTGTTTACTTTTTTACTTAAATAAATGCTTAGACAATTTGTTCTTCGCTTCGAAGCTGATGTATAATATATTTATATATGCATACGTTTCCCTACATAACACTTCTTTCTTTTCCTTTTAAGTGTCTTTTTAGCCTTTCTTTTTGCTCTTTTTTTAGCTTATTTGCCTTTCGTGATTTTTTTTTATTTTTTTGTCTTCTTGGTCTTTTCTTTTTATCGAAAATAGAATAAAGTTAAATTTCTAGTAAATTCATATCGTCTCACAACTTCTAATTCAGGAAATTGACAAAATCAGAATGTAATAAAATGAGAAGTAGTTTAAGACAACTAAAATACTATGACGTATATCACATAAATTTCATGTGAAAATAATATAAAATTAAAATTTATGTAAATTTTATTAAATTGACGCAATTAGAATGTGATTGAATAATCTAATAATATGATACATCGCAAATGACATTACTTTAGAGGGTGCTATCCTCTTCTTTAGACATGTCTTTATTCAAGGGCGGAGTCAACACTCGACAAGCCATGATGGCCACCATGCTGGCTTCACGCGCTAGCCTAAACTCACATTATCTCATTCAAATTCATGGATCCGCCACTATCTTCATTTATTTATTTATTCATTGGTGGGTTTAATGATGAATTAAAATCAGTGAAGTTTTGTTTTGGTTATGGAATTTTACATTATTTTATCGTTTTTCTTTTATTTCAATTTGCTCACTTTATTAAAATTCATTATTTTTTTGTAAAACTAATTTGTCGATGTCTGATGACAGATAAAAATCTGATATAAATAAAAATTTAATTTGGTATATATGTTTTTCTCTCAATTATTAGTTTTAGTCCCAATTATCACGACTCTTTTATTGTTGAGAGAAACTTTTTACTTCCTTTTCTTATAGCTTCTTGCTTTGATAATTAATTGTTATGCTTTATTTTCAATTTCTGATGGTATTTGAAAGTGGAGGCATCTCTTTTTTCCTTTTCATCTTTTCTTTTCTGTCTTCTTTATTCAATTATTTGTGTAAGACAAATTAGACTTCAAACATACTCTGGATTTTAATTTCCCTTTTTAGAACAGTTTATTTGCAATATATAATAATACACGCCTTTATTTCAATATTATTTTTTTACACTTTTTTTAGATGAGAGGGTCTAAGAAGTGAACAACTTTTATAAATAGATTCGAGTGTTTTCCTTGGCATTTGTCACGTATATTCATTTGAATCTTGTTTTCAAGCACTTCGTGAAAAAAGCTTGTCACTTTTTCAAAAATTTAAATTTTCAAACGATGTTGTTCAACACATAACACATTTGTCATCTTTTACCCTCGACTCAAATTACAACATTTTTTTACAGTACGTGTATATATATGTGCGCGCGCGCACAATATTAAATACAGAATAATAAATAAAATTTTAGGATCAAGTTACAGCAACAGGAAACTTGACATGCGGTTTGATAGAACACACAAATGAAGAGGAGGTCGACATTTTTTAATCCATACGGGACCTACAGTAATTGTGAGAAGTGGTCATCCCTTTGGACAAGCATTTTCTCGCAATTCAGCAAAACTCCAAACTTTAACTTCTTTAGTACTTTTTTTTTTCCTTGCAGTGGCTACCACGGTACATCGTCAGCATCAACTAGAGCGAATCGAACGTACACGCCAAGGACATCTATTCAATCCATCCCCTAATGATACGCCCACTCTGAGAAAAATAAAATATTTAATTCATTATCTTATCTTAATCCATTTACCAATTATCTAACTGCTGTTGATTTGACACACTAATCAAAATCGAATCCCACTAATGAATTGATTAAATAGTAAAGTACAGTAGATATATGTTACAAATTACTCTTTAAGTTGGTTAAAGATAATGACAAATGAATTCATCATTAATGTGATGACTATTTTTTTAATAAGTGGATTCAGAGTCGATTGGTTCAAGTTGTAAGTTAAAAAGCTCACTTGTCGAAAGTTCTGAAGTTGTAATTGGACAAGTTTGCGATCTTTTAAGATGAACTTGTAAGTCTAATCCAATTTTGATAACATTGATCGAGCCTACGAAGTAATGAAAATGATTTACCCTTAGGCAGGGTTAGTTTTTCATTGTACTAATATCTTTGTTCTACATTAGGACCTTCTAATTCTCACGTGCTAAGAATGATTACTATTGGGGATTCAACTACTAATCGAAAAGATGATTTAAAAAATTAAGACGAATCGAGTAATAACACTGAATTTTGCAGTAAATTTCCATTGACTTGATGGTTAATGACACTTTAACTATATGTGAATAAATAATTTGGAGTGGGTTCCAATAGATAATCACCTCGGGAGTAGGTTTCAATAGATAATCGCCTCAGGAAGAGTTTATGAATGATTTAATTTATAAATAGACAGAAACGTTAGCACTAAGAACAACAATTATTGTAAGCACTATCATGCTTATAAGAATTAATATTATAAATCTTCTTTTAAATCAATTATTGATTCTCTGTTACTTTTTCGATTTCCTTCCTTAATATTAAAAATGTTAAAGAGACGTTAAATCTTGTCTTTTACACGCCTTATCACATACAAACAATATTCTGAGATCTAAAATATGGAGGTTTTATAAATAAGTGATGACAAGACAATTAAAACTTGAATTCAAATGTTTCGTTTGGCTTGGGTAATGTAACCATCCCGTCTAAAATCTTAAGGTATTATAGATTATGGTTCAAAATTTTTAATTTTTGGCCTATAATCAATATTGTTCTTGGTTTTTCTAGTTGGACTGATGAATTAGATTCAATTATGATAGTGCTGGCGAAGTTCATGAAGAAACGAATATGATTTGCGCGTAAGAAGATATATTTTTAAATAATTAAATGCCTTCTTCCTTGATTAGGCAACATGAAGAAACTTCTAATTCTCTCATGTTAATGGTGATTAAAATGTTATTTTTAGGAATCCAACTACTAATGAAGACTAATGGAACAGATAATTTAAAATATTCCATTCATTTGATTTTTAATGTAACTTTAACTATATAGGAATAAACATTCGAAGGAATTTTTTTCGTCACAAAATTTTACTCCTCTATTTTAGTTTTTACTTTTTACCTTACATTTTTCAATGTTTAGTAATGGTAAAAGTTGTGCTTAAAAACTAGAAGAGCAAGCAGAGTTTAATGTTTGGTAAATAAGCCGATGGCTTATAAGCCATGGATCAGTGCAAAATGTGTAGTTACAAATATTTGAAGGGTCTCTAATAACATTTTTGTTTTTTTGTTTTTTTTTTTTGGAATAATCTCTAACCACAATTATTATTAGCACTATCATTATTATACGAATTAGCCCTTGTTTGGCTTCTTCAAAATCAGGTAATTGTCGGAATATGATAATTTGCAACACATAATTAAAATAATTATGCCAAAAAAAATCTGTCAAGTGCAGGATTTTGACAGGTCATAATGCATGCAATCTTCATTTGCCAAAGAACAATTCAAATTGTACGGGGTTGCCTTCACAGAATTTTTATGTGTTGTTCTTCTTTTTTTCTTTTTTTTTTTCCTTTTTTTTTTTGTCATCTTTCACCAAAAATTGCCACATATAACATAACTCTCCTGTATAAATTCTTTGAATCAACTTCTGCATTTGTAGTAAGGTTCTTTACTAAATGTACGTATGTGTGTGTATATATATATCTAGCACAAGAATCGATTTTTCGACAACACAACTTAATATATTATATCGTTACACGTATCTAACAATAATTATTATTATATTATCAGGATATTAAAGAGAGTCAATATCGACTAAAACTCTCAATAAATCATAAATTCCCCGCTGACATAAACACCAATTGTCATCCCAATGTATTTTTACTCCTGAAAAATTCACCATAGAAGTTTAAGTTTTGCCTACATCTCTTATATTGCTCGATTCTCTTAAATTTGCAACTTCTACATAGTTGATAATCATGATACGACACAACTTAAAAAGTTCCACTAAAGAAATTTTTTAGAATACCTGTTAAATATCAAATAAGTTAGAGATTCGAGCTAACTAGCTGGAATTTTACTTCCCGCATTTAAATCTTTTAAGAATGTCACTAAATCAAATTCTCTTCATGAAACACGTTAATCTAAACAATTGTAGAAAATCATTTTTCAATTGCTAGTGCTAGCAAATAAGTGATTCCACCTGGAACAATCGAATATGATAATATTAGAATGTACTTACAACACAACAACAATAACAACAACAAAAACAACAACAACAACAACAATAATAATAATAATAATAATAATAATAATAATAATAATAATAATAATAATAATAATAAGAAAAAAAGAAAAAGAAAGGGACAATGCTCTATGGGACAATGCTATGCTCATACACAAGGATTATCACATAATCCTAGCATGATAGAAACATTACATTTGGCTTTTAACCATTTGGTGCTTAGGAATCTTCTTAATCATTCCCATCTCAATTTAAAGTGATTCCATATAACACAAGTAATATAATATATTGACGATCATAGTAAAGATCGAAATTATTGTTTAATATTACGTATAACATATAGACATTCAATTCTTGTTTTTTCTTACATGCTTGTTGCTTACAATGCTTTCTTCAAGACTCCATAAATTTAGCTCCACAGTTGGGAGTTGACTAAAAATTCCTCCTAAACAAGGTATTACACATACAATATTAAAGAAAAGGATTGTTCAACAATGATCCAATTTCCACAAATTGATAAAGATGCTACAAAATGCTGTTGTAATTACTGTCCATTGACCATAACTGATCGAAATGGTACCCGTTTAATTTCAACGAAGGTCGAAAACTCATTGTCCAACGGTTGTTTCCACGGTTCACCATCCATCTGCATATATGCCTTCTTCCATGACCCTCCTCTCAGCTCAAACCTAATTGCCAAAGCCTGGAAAATTGCAGTACAATAAATTTTCTGCTTATTGAAAGCAAAAGTCATGTAGTACAAGTTACTTCCTCTTGTAACTAGAATACCTGTGCTATGTGTTTGGCAGAGATAATCTCACTCATAACCATTGAAGCATGCCACCCTTGTTTCAGACCAAAAATTTCTAAGAAACCATCATCGGCATGGGCCTCAACAAATCCTCTCTAGAAATAAAAGGAGAAAGCGTCGTCAGCTTATAATCTCATACAATTCTTTGTTGATAATCTATAGAAGCAATTGTAACGAGTTAACCATCAAACAAAATCACCAAATTTCAAATAAATTAAATTTGAGATAAGAAGATGTACGGCTACATGTCAAAATTTCATTTTCTTCCATGTTACTTGAGGTAAAAATGTTGAGCTAATGGGGATGAGGGAAGTTTATGCATGTATGTTACTATACCGGCTGGATATGAAGTCGCATGAAAGAGTTAAGTAGCAACTTCACTGGTTTTTCATGCATTTGATATGTTTATTTATAGTTTACTCATGGTATGAAAAGAGTCCAAGGAGCACCAGCAAAATACCAGTAAAGACTGAGGTTGCAAGAAAATAAGTACCCACAGTTAATTATCTTTTTTGGAACTAGAACTAAATTTAGACAGCATAACTAAAATTGATACTGTCTCAGGGTAAAAGAAATTATCTCAGCAAGTAGAATGGCAACTAAATCCATTTTCGAAGAAAAACCAATATAGAATTGGAAATCCAGAAGTAAAACACAAATAACAAAAGGCCCAAAGAAATTGTATTCAAAAGATGGATCTTGAAGAATTAAAATGCAAACCCTAAAATTTTGCCAATTCAACATTCAAAATCAGGGACCATGATTGTTTTAATTTAATCAATATTGGGCAAATTCAGTTGTTCTTGTCAAGTTAGCATTATTGAGAGAATGTTGGATAACGACTCTAATGGATGTTGCTGTAAATGTCCATCAATCTTGACATGCTTCGAGTTATTCATATTTTAAGCAAATTTTCTAACAAAAGGTGATGAAGACTTCACTCTTTTTTAACGAAATAAGACCACAAATTTAAATCATTTAGGCTCCATGTAAATGAGATGTCTCACTCTACAGTTACCTAAAATTGACAATCCAAAAATAAGTAAAGTAGAGAAAAAGAAATTAACAATCACTCACATGAAGGTAGAAGTGCACATTGGATACTGCAAATTGGATCTAACTAATGTTTTATTCCCATCAGATAATAAGGAAATTGATAGTTCTCAATTTGTCACTAAATTAATGATCAATTACAAATAGTGAGAGGTTTAAAATACTCAAGCAACACGTTGTATATAGGGACGTTTGGGACGACCTATACCTCCAACCCACATAGCCACTAAGATGGCCAAAAACATTTTGAGCTTGTGATTTATGCAGATCGTGAAATTTTATATTTAGTGGACCAAACTTGACACGTCTTATTTACACTTGAATAGCATCAAGCCCAACAAAAACTTAAATATGGGTGGACGAGAAGACCTATCAGTTCAACACGGATCATTTTACATCATTAATCATAATTATGCACAAAGAATTAACTATGGAATATCCTTAATTAAAGTAGATACTCTAAGAAGTCAGCAAATCATTATCAAAATTGTAAAATATTCCTAGTAATATCATATAATTGAAATTATGAACTTTAGTCAATTCAAAAATAATAACTCCACCATATTACTAGTTGCATATAACCTTAGCACAATAATTTAACGTGCAAAACCCATAATAATGCACCCGTTCAACAAGACAATGCATGCTGTCGTGTACCACACTGGCTATCACTTTATGATGTTACAACCTTTGTCTTCCCTAATTAAACCAACATATATTTTCGTTTTTCAACTGCCTTGTTTATTTTATCTCATCTGGAACACATTTGGATTTATTTATTTTAATAAAAATTTGATGCTCGGGCAATTTTTATAAATGAGTAATAATGGCAAGACTTTTACAACTTATGTTTTGATACTGTGATGAATTATTTTATCTAAAAACTTAAACTCTTTCGACATATAATTTTTTTTGCATTAATTGAGTTTCTTTGCATTCATAGTCGAATGATTAAAGTGTGCGTTCGATGGGGGTAAAGGGATAATTTTGTAGGGTCTGTCATCTAATCAAACATTTCTTAAATTGTTAAACCAGAAGGGGTAATTTATTTTTCTGTTGTAAATCACCAATAACTTTATCGTTAATGCAAAAAATTCAATACGGAAGGAACAACCTTTTTCACTCATCTATTTTTTTTCTTTAATGTTTTGTTTTTTCTAATGTTGTGCACTCATTCTGTGCATAAATTATTAGGGATGAAAATTCCCTCTTGATGTGTACACATAATTGGGTCAAAAGTGAAGAACACCAGAAGGCAGAGCAACAATTGATGAACAAAGAATGGGAATTTTCTCCAAACACTCTTAATTTCTCCAAGAATTATTTACAATTTCAAAATTCCTACTCAAATCTTAATAAAATAAATAACCCACAAAATGTTGACAGGATACTTTTGAAAGTATCTAAGCAATAAGTTGCTCAAAGACGAGTGCTCGACTTCTTTGTAGCGCAGCCGAGACAGCAAAGGTCTCTGCAAAAATAAAAATAAAATAAAATGATTTCAATGGACCTGATCTACTGCTTCAAGGCTCTCCATGTTCCCCATTTCTACATTTCCACCGTTTTTCTGCTGCTTCTTCTCTTCATTATCTTCCTCTGTAGATTTACTACTAGTAGTGCTTGTACTTTTATTGCCAAAAGATGATGCTTTACTGGACATAGGAGTGGCCAAGAAAGTTGGCTTTTCTTGGCCGGCCATGATCACTAGATACTTCTCTTCAAGAATTGGTGGTGCAGCCTTTAGGCTGCCATCAGCTGAGCCATCGCCGCTGCCATTGACCTCCCCTGCCTCAAGATCCCTCTCGGTTTCTCCCTGGTTCTCGAGGTAGCCGGAAAGTTTCCAATATGAGCAGGCCAGGATCAAGAGAGCAAAAGCAATGAGCCCTAACATGGCTGCCAATCCTCCGAAGAGGTACGGCACCGGAGAATGCCACGGTGAGCGCTGTGCAAGTGATGAATATGATGCTGTTGGAGCCTCCACAGTACCCATTTTTAAGTCTTATGGCTATAAAGAATTTCTTTTTTACGATAACTTATTAAAGAACTAGTTATGCTGTTATGGGGAGCAGACGATGGAGAAGGGGTGGTGGATTGAGGAAGGAGAGATTGGTTGAGGTGTTATTTATAGGGAAGTGGGAACAGGTGGATTTTTTATTTTTTTTTTCGGAGAATTATTTCGCATGAAAAGTGGGGCCTACGTCTTTGTTCATATCTAAAATGTACAGTAGAAAGCACTCGACATGCATCCGAGTCCGTGAGACATTGGAATTGGCATATTGCCGTAACTAATGTGGTGGAATAATGTTATTTAATTTTACTGAAATTATAATTTCAATTTAGGTATCGTTAGCGTGACATTAAATAATAGGTAAAATTAAACATTTTATTCAGTCAATATCTAGAATCATTTAGACTGTTGTTGTAATCTGTAATATTATTCAAATGGAATTGATTTGTAAGAATATCTCTAAAAAATATTTTAAATACAAAATACTCTCTACTTTAGAGAGTCAATACTTAAAATAAGTTCCAAGAGAATCTATTTTAACTTTTTAAAGTAGAGAATGTACTTGATTTTTCAAATTTAAAGAGTCAAATTCACTCTCTATTCTTAATGTACAATGATTGTATTTAATATATTACAAATTTCAATACTTTACAATTAAAATTTTTCAAATTACATTTGAATTTACTGGTCATTAATATATAAAAGAAAATTATATTTAAATAAAATATGTGGAGAAATTATTAAATGTTCATTGAAAAAAATTCTCCCTCCGTTTCACGTATATATGCTTGTTTTGTTTTTTACAAAGATTAAGAAATCTTATTTTATGTTATTGAAAAAGTAATTTTTGTTTAAAAAAAAAAAAAATCTTAGTTTGCCCCTATTTAATTTTCAACAAATAGTAGTAAATTATTGTTGGAATCTATAAAGAATTTGAAAATTGATTTCAAGCAATTGGCAAATTATTGGGAAATGTGCATGTATTTGAAAGATTTCAAGAAGTAGGCAAATTAAGCCCTTGTTTGAGTCCCATTTTTGTGAAGAAAATGAATTTTTGAATAATGTATTGATGGAAAATGTGTAGTTAAAAAATAAGGAAAATTTTTTTATTTGCGTATAATATTATTTTATTAAAGAATGCGTGGTTGAAATGATATCAAATTACTGTTGAAAAATGTATTTTGATTGAAAAATGGGGCTCAAACAAAGGCTAAGTTGGAAAAATTGACTGTAACTAAGCAAATTAAATAAGGATATAACAGTAAAGGATTAAAACAAAATATTCTAAATTAAGAAACTGGACTATATATTTGGGACAAAAAAAAAAAAAAAAAGAGGAAACTAAGTCTATATAAATGGGACGAATGGAGTAAAATAAAGAATCAAAATAGAAAGCTTGTTGGAGTGTATTAAAAAAATTATTCTCTAAATTTAAAGAAGTTCTTTATAAAGAGAGAGTTTTTTGGAGATATTCTAAGTAGTAAATTTAATCTGGGAATATTAATTTAATTTTTAAAAAATTGAAACATGTAATTTGATGTTTCAACGGTTGAATTTTATGCAAGAGATGTAAAACACGTGTTTCAGATTCTTTACTCTGCATGTGACTCTACACGTACATACTGCAAGCCTCAAGAATTAAGTCTAATATTGTTCATTTATCTTGCAAAACCCAACATGGAGCATAGACTATCTCAAACCGTGCCCAATTTTATCATACTTTATTTTAAATTCAAGGTATTAAAGATGTGGTTTCATTGGCTTTTATTAAAATCTAACGTGTGCACGCCCAACTTCATATGTTTTAGCCATTGTACATTTTTGCCACGAAGGAGAAGATCGTTTAACTCGTAATGATACTTCTCTTAAGACTTCTGTTTACTTTTTTACTTAAACAAATGCTTAGACAATTTGTTCTTCGCTTCAAAGCTGATGTATAATATATTTATATATGCATACGTTTCCCTACATAACACTTCTTTCTTTTCCTTTTAAGTGTCTTTTTAGCCTTTCTTTTTGCTCTTTTTTTAGCTTATTCGCCTTTTGTGATTTTTATTTTTTATTTTTTGTCTTCTTGGTCTTTTCTTTTTATCGAAAATAGAATAAAGTTAAACTTCTAGTAAATTCATTTTGTCTCACAACTTCTCATTCAGGAAATTGACAAAATCAGAATGTAATAAAATGAGAAGTAGTTTAAGACAACTAAAATACTATGACGTATATCACATAAATTTCATGTGAAATAATATAAAATTAAAATTTATGTAAATTTTATTAAATTGACGCAATTAGAATGTGATTGAATAATCTAATAATATGATACATCACGAATGACATTGCTTTAGAGGGTGCTAACCTCTTCTTTAGACATGTCTTTATTCAAGGGTGGAGCCAACACTCAACAAACCATGACGGGCGGCCACCATGCTGGCTTCACGTGCTAGCCTAAACTCACATTATCTCACTGGAATTCATGGATCCGATATAAATAAAAATTTAATTTGGTATATATGTTTTTCTCTCAATTATTAGTTTTAGTCCCAATTATCACGACTCTTTTATTGTTGAGAGAAACTTTTTACTTCCTTTTCTTATAGCTTCTTGCTTTGATAATTAATTGTTATGCTTTATTTTCAATTTCTGATGGTATTTGAAAGTGGAGGCATCTCTTTTTTCCTTTTCATCTTTTCTTTTCTGTCTTCTTTATTCAATTATTTGTGTAAGACAAATTAGACTTCAAACATACTCTGGATTTTAATTTCCCTTTTTAGAACAGTTTATTTGCAATATATAATAATACACGCCTTTATTTCAATATTATTTTTTTACACTTTTTTTAGATGAGAGGGTCTAAGAAGTGAACAACTTTTATAAATAGATTCGAGTGTTTTCCTTGGCATTTGTCACGTATATTCATTTGAATCTTGTTTTCAAGCACTTCGTGAAAAAAGCTTGTCCCTTTTTCAAAAATTTAAATTTTCAAACGATGTTGTTCAACACATAACACATTTGTCATCTTTTACCCTCGACTCAAATTGCAACATTTTTTTATAGTACGTGTATATATATGTGCGCGCGCGCACAATATTAAATACAGAATAATAAATAAAATTTTAGGATCAAGTTACAGCAACAGGAAACTTGACATGCGGTTTGATAGAACACACGAATGAAGAAGAGGTCGACATTTTTTAATTCATACGGGACCTACAGTAATTGTGAGAAGTGGTCATCCCTTTGGACAAGCATTTTCTCGCAATTGAGCAAAACTCCAAACTTTAACTTCTTTAGTACTTTTTTTTTCCTTGCAGTGGCTACCACGGTACATCGTCAGCATCAACTAGAGCGAATCGAACGTACACGCCAAGGACATCTATTCAATCCATCCCCTAATGATACGCCCACTCTGAGAAAAATAAAATATTTAATTCATTATCTTATCTTAATCCATTTACCAATTATCTAACTGCTGTTGATTTGACACACTAATCAAAATCGAATCCCACTAATGAATTGATTAAATAGTAAAGTACAGTAGATATATGTTACAAATTACTCTTTAAGTTGTTTAAAGATAATGACAAATGAATTCATCATTAATGTGATGACTATTTTTTTAATAAGTGGATTCAGAGTCGATTGGTTCAAGTTGTAAATTAAAAAGCTCACCTGTCGAAAGTTCTGAAGTTGTAATTGGTCGAGTTTGCTATCTTTTAAGATGAACTTGTAAGTCTAATCCAATTTTGATAACATTGGTCGAGCCTACGAAGTAATGAAAATGATTTACCCTTAGGCAGGGTTAGTTTTTCATTGTACTAATATCTTTGTTCTACATTAGGACCTTCTAATTCTCACGTGCTAAGAATGATTACTATTGGGGATTCAACTACTAATCGAAAAGATGATTTAAAAAATTAAGACGAATCGAGTAATAACACTGAATTTTGCAGTAAATTTCCATTGACTTGATGGTTAATGACACTTTAACTATATGTGAATAAATAATTTGGAGTGGGTTCCAATAGATAATCACCTCGGGAGTAGGTTTCAATAGATAATCGCCTCAGGAAGAGTTTATGAATGATTTAATTTATAAATAGACAGAAACGTTAGCACTAAGAACAACAATTATTGTAAGCACTATCATGCTTATAAGAATTAATATTATAAATCTTCTTTTAAATCAATTATTGATTCTCTGTTACTTTTTCGATTTCCTTCCCTCATATTAAAAATGTTAAAGAGACGTTAAATCTTGTCTTTTACACGCCTTATCACATACAAACAATATTCTGAGGTCTAAAATATGGAGGTTTTATAAATAAGTGATGACAAGACAATTAAAACTTGAATTCAAATGTTTCGTTTGGCTTGGGTAATGTAACCATCCCGTCTAAAATCTTAAGGTATTATAGATTATGGTTCAAAATTTTTAATTTTTGGCCTATAATCAATATTGTTCTTGGTTTTTCTAGTTGGACCGATGAATTAGATTCAATTATGATAGTGCTGGCGAAGTTCATGAAGAAACGAATATGATTTGCGCGTAAGAAAACATATTTTTAAATAATTAAATACCTTTATCTTTGATAGGCAACATGAAGAAACTTCTAATTCTCTCATGTTAATGGTGATTAAAATGTTATTTTTAGGAATCCAACTACTAATGAAGACTAATGGAACAGATAATTTAAAATATTGCATTCATTTGATTTTTAATGTAACTTTAACTATATAGGATTAGACATTCAAAGGAAAACCATAGAGCAATAAATAAGAGTGGGATTCAACCAACTTGATCATATTTTTGTTACTTAACCAATTGATATATTTCAAATTTTCTAAAGGAACTTTTTTCATCACAAAATTTTACTCCACTATTTTAGTTTTTACCTTACATTTTTCAATGTTCGGTAAGGGTAAAGATTGTGCTTAAAAACTAAAAGACCAAGCAGAGTTTAATGTTTGGTAAATAAGTCGATGGCTTATAAGCCATGGATCAGTACAAAATGTGTAGTTACAAATATTTGAAGGGTCTCTAATAACATTTTTGTTTTTTTTTTTTTTTTTTTTTTTGGGAATAATCTCTAACCACAATTATTATTAGCACTGTCATTATTATACGAATTAGCCCTTGTTTGGCTTCTTCAAAATCAGGTAATTGTCAGAAAATGATAATTTGCAACACATTATTATAATAATTATGCCAAAAAAATCTGTCAAGTGCAGGATTTTGACAGGTCATAATACATGCAATCTTCATTTGCCAAAGAACAATTCTAATCGTACAGGGTTGCCTTCACAGAATTTTTTTGTGTTGTTAATTCTTTTTTTTTTTTTTTTTTTTGGTCATCTTTCACCAAAAATTGCCACAAACGACATAACTCTCCTGTATAAATTCTGTGAACCAACTTCTGTACCTATAATAACAATAATTATTATTATATTATCAAGATATTAAAGAGAGTCAATATCGACTAAAACTCTCAATAAATCATAAAGTCCCTGCTATCATAAACACCAATTGTCATCCCAATATATTTTTACTCCCAAAAAATTCACCATAGAAGTTTAAGTTTTGCCTACATCTCTTATATTGCTCAATTCTCTTAAATTTGCAACTTCTACATAGTTGATAATCATGTTACAATACAACTTAAAAAGTTCCACTAAAGAAACTTTTTAGAATACCGGTTAAATATCAAATAAGTTGTTGTAGATTCGAGCTAACTAGCTGGAATTTTACTTCCCACATTTAAGTCTATTAAGAATGTCACTAAATCAAATTCTCTTCATGAAACACGTTAATCTAAACAATTGTAGAAATTCATTTTTCAATTGCTAGTGCTAGCAAATAAGTGATTCCACATGGAACAATCGAATATGATAAATTAGAATGTACTTACAACACAATAATAATAATAATAATAATAATAATAATAATAATAATAATAATAATAATAATAATAATAATAATAAAAGAAGAAGGGACAATGCTCTATGGGACAATGCTATGCTTATACACAAGGATTATCACATAATCCTAGCATGATAGAAACATTACATTTGGCTTTTAACCATTTGGTGCTTAGGAATCTTCTTAATCATTCCTATCTCAATTTAAAGTGATTCCATATAACACAAGTAATATAATATATTGACGATCATAGTAAAGATCGAAATTATTGTTTAATAAAGTAGTTACGTATAACATATAGACATTCGATTCTTGTTTTTTCTTACATGCTTGTTGCTTACAATGCTTTCTTCAAGACTCCATAAATTTAGCTCCACAGTTGGAAGTTGACTAAAAATTCCTCCTAAACAAGGTATTACACATACAATAGTAAAGAAAAGGATTGTTCAACAATGATCCAATTTCCACAAATTGATAAAGATGATACAAAATGCTGTTGTAATTACTGTCCATTGACCATAGCTGATCGAAATGGTACCCGTTTAATTTCAACGAAGGTCGAAAACTCATTGTCCAACGGTTCTTTCCACGGTTCACCATCCATCTGCATATATGCCTTCTTCCATGACCCTCCTCTCAGCTCAAACCTAATTGCCAAAGCCTGGAAAATTGCAGTGCAATAAATTTTCTGCTTATTGAAAGCAAAAGTCATGTAGTACAAGTTACTTCCTCTTGTAACTAGAATACCTGTGCTATGTGTTTGGCAGAGATAATCTCACTCATAACCATTGAAGCATGCCACCCTTGTTTCAGACCAAAAATTTCTAAGAAACCATCATCGGCATGGGCCTCAACAAATCCTCTCTAGAAATAAAAGGAGAAAGCGTCGTCAGCTTATAATCTCATACAATTCTTTGTTGATAATCTATAGAAGCAATTGTAACGAGTTAACCATCAAACAAAATCACCAAATTTCAAATAAATTAAATTTGAGATAAGAAGATGTACGGCTACATGTCAAAATTTCATTTTCTTCCATGTTACTTGAGGTAAAAATGTTGAGCTAATGGGGATGAGGGAAGTTTATGCATGTATGTTACTATACCGGCTGGCTATGAAGTCGCATGAAAGAGTTAAGTAGCAACTTCACTGGTTTTTCATGCATTTGATATGTTTATTTATAGTTTACTCATGGTATGAAAAGAGTCCAAGGAGCACCAGCAAAATACCAGTAAAGACTGAGGTTGCAAGAAAATAAGTACCCACAGTTAATTATCTTTTTTGGAACTAGAACTAAATTTAGACAGCATAACTAAAATTGATACTGTCTCAGGGTAAAAGAAATTATCTCAGCAAGTAGAATGGTGAGAATATCCACAGGGCAGAGCTCAAATAGTGGTGATCAAGTATAAAAGGTATTTCCATAAACGTTGCACCGTAAAAAATCCAAAAAGTGATTTATGTTGAGTACAAAACGAGCTAAACGCTTCGTCTCAACATAAAGGAGCAAATGAAAAATTGAGAAAATTGCATTACTATTACATTATCGAGACTAAATGTATGTGGTGTAAACATATAGATACCTTCTCTAAATACTCTGGCTTAAGATGGCCCCATGGATTTCTTCCACTTCCATAGCTAGGAAGATTTAGAGCAACTATAGCCCTCACACTAAAAGGTTAAAATCATGTCATTTTAAAACAAATGTAACAAGTCATGAAAAGATCGACCTCATAAAAATGTACATGTGATTCTGAGAGAAATTCAGATCATGGTAATACATCATATGTGGCGAGCATAAAATAATATTGGGATCAAGCACTATTCTATAAAATGAAATCAACCTTGATGGGACTGGGATTTTCTCCCATCCTGAACAATTGACCCTCTTGATGTATATTTTTAAGATGTTCTTTAGTCCCCTGCACAATTATAATATCAAAATGTATCAGTTAATTTTAAAAAAGCATGTCTTCATCTGTAAGTAGCACCAGAAATGCCATACGTAAGGCACAGCATTTGTAAAGTCGTGGTGAAGGGCAAAGGGAAAGATTCACATTTGTCACGCTACTCAATAAGATATTCAATTCCTGTTTTCCTTAAAAACTATACGTAAGAATACCAAGAAACCCTAAGAGCCTGTTTGGAAGTGATTTTGAAAATTGATTTTTTGACCGTTAGGAGAAAAGTAGGGTCCACCTGTGAGAGAAGAAGTCAAATATGACAACTGGAATAGTGAAATAACGGTAAAAAATTAATTTTTTGGGAGGAAAAATCGCTACCAAACAGGCCCTAAATAAATAGGCAAATTTAAAAAAATAAAATAAAAAATAAAAAAATTTGCTAGAAGAAATTGTGCGAGATAGAATTCTGACCGTAATCCTGGATCACTGGTACATGGTGTGCAGAACCAGCCTTGCATGCAGCTATACCCCGAATAAATTAACTGCAGTAATTTATTTACACTTCAACTTTATATGGCCAATGAGAGTGGGAACAGTATGTGTAGTAAATCAATTCATAACTAATTCGAAAACGATTCGTTATTTCTGCAAAACTCAGATAGATACTTGCATTGAGCATCATCAGGACGCGGCATGGCATATAAAGAAAACATCACAGAAAGAGAAGTAAATATCAAGGATTGAGGAAAACTTCCCAAATCAAATTAATATCAGAAGAAAGTTGCACTCACACAACCCCATTTGTAAAGGATTTCAATGGTGTGGAATTTGAGTTCACATATCATTCTTTAGAATCCCAAAATTGTTAATCCAAGAAGATGAAACACCCTGATTCTACCATTAATACCAAGTACCTAGAGTATCTTGGGATTGGGAAGAAGAATTTGCACCTTGTTTGAAATAGGACCCTGAGCCAGATAAGGTTTTTCATTGCGTAAATGGTGGAAACCATAAGCAACTTGGGCATCCATTCCTGAATTAACATCAAATGATAATATTTCAAGCAGTGATAACATTTTCACCCAGCAAGATAAGCATAACAAAATCAAATTCATACCTATGCTAAAATAATTATAAAAGACTCCCTGATAACAAGAAACCTTCTCCGGCAACTCCCCTTCAGCTTCCAGTTCCTGCACAATCAAGATGGAATTCAATTTCATAAGCATCAGAAGATAAGCACGATAAATTAGATTTATTGTCCTCAATCATTAAACATATAATAGACACGATTGTATCATGTTGCAATGCCTTTATACAGGAATCATTAATAAATATTGTAAAATGCATTTTAATTTATTAATATCTAGAAGTGCATCATGTAATGGGTATAAAACGTGTTAATTTTGGAATATAGTAAAAATTTGGTTTCTGAAAATTCTTTGTAAGAAGTGGGCTATCACTTCACTGCATAGAACACATCAACGATTGGAGCACAACTACATGAAGTCATTTATTTCCCATCTTTATGCAGATGGTGAAAAGCAGACTTCGAGGCTTAGTCGAGAAGATCCAAAAATATCCCCCAAATCAATGAATACTCCATTCCATCATGAAAATAATTAGAGCGTCATGCATCATCAACTAGCAATTCCAAAAGGTTGAGTTAGTAAAATCAATGATAAACAGACAAAATTGTGAATCAATAAGATTAACTAACTTTATAGCTGGCTGAATCAAAACAATCTTACTGAACAGCATAAAAAAAAAACAGAATTTGATAAATTTCAGCCACATACCTGATCAAGAGGTGTTTCTTCTGTTGCCTTGAGAGAATAAGGTATCTCCAAGTCCTCCCCAGCTGGCATTGATATTAAGACATGCCAACTGCACAACAAAATATGCATTTCATCATCAAGGCAATGTTGCTTCAAAAGAAGAAAAAACAATAGGTTACGAGAACTAATCTGATGATACATTTTCACAGTAAATTCGACATATCTTGAAACTACCGAAATAATTAAATACAACCTTTACTCAGCAGATTTGGGTGCAGCAATGCTGGATAATGCATTTCATCTGCCATAACAGGGGTATACATATAAAAGAAAATTATGAACTGATGTATAAGCCGTTCTTATTCACTGATAAGCCATCCTTTTCACTTCACTATAATAAAAAAATTTCAAATTCTCCTCTAATTTTTCATGGAACTAATGATTTGTAGCTTGATACAGACATATGTATTGCTTTCTGATAATTTATTCTATTAGATTCTCTCTCGATTCCACCAACCAATTTCACGTGTTCAAATATCATACATCTCACTTTCGCATAATCATATATAGATTAGGCGGATCGTGTGACTGCTAATCGCAGCTCCAAAGTTTCTTACAACAAAGACCTATTTAGAGCAAGTAGTGTATCCAACAATCTGTTAACATCCATGGTCGAAGAGGATATACGAAACATAAATTATAGAGCCTTCTTTTTATCGTCCAATATCAGTTTTATTCAAAGAATATTGTCATCGGATTAATTAAACTAGAAAGTTGCAAAAGACTGTACTTTGTGCATCATCTCCTCCCCCATTCCCACACCCACTAGAAGGTAACAAGATTCCAAGATCTCCAAAGACAAAAAAATCTAGATTTTAATTTCCTGATTAACTAGATCTCTGGTAGCACCATCTTCAAAGAACTGCCTCCGAAAGGATGGTACTAAGTATTTGAATTTCTTGTCAACAACCATATATATAGGAGTAAGAATTTATTAGTGGTACCAACTTAATAAATCACGAAAGATACTTAAAGGAACAAGCTAAAGACATCACCTGTCCAGATAACAGGTAGGATCATTGCCTATTCTGTCAAGAGTTCTTTTTATGGATGATTTCCAATTAAATGGGAAAGACCCACCCTGGAAAGACAACATTTGTGACACAGCTTAGAACAGGGTGGACAACAAGGCAAATAAAAGGTTGATGTGGATGAAACCTTACCCAACCAAAACTCCGGGACAGATCATTTCCTGTACCTAAAGGAATTATAGCTGCCGGTGGAACTGGCAGTCGTCCTTGTTTGTTCAGTTCTCCTAGACAGCCAAGGACCCACCCGACAGTACCATCACCTCCTGCAACCTGTCAAGGGCCAGATTGCTTAAAGCTTTATATGTAAATTGACAACGAGCACAAACACTATGAGCATGATCTTTGCCATTCAAGTGAAATACATAGCATAGTAGTAAATGGTATAACTTAAGAATGCCAAAGCATGAAAGTTTTAGGCCAGAATATGATGCTTACCACAACCCTTAGTTTTTCACGAGTCTCTTTAGCAAAGGTGTCTCCAAGACTAGCAAACTTCTCCAGGCAAGCCAATCCATATTGAACAAATTCATGAGGCTTCACCGACGAGAGGTCAAAAACCTGGTACCGTTTAACAGGAAAAGAAAAGGAGAGACAGAAATTCACCTCAGGACTTGTATAGTTATATTATTATCATCAAAATCACATTCTGTCACATAATTATTAAGAACGGAGGAAACGTTTGTCTTGCTTAAGCTCCTGATAACATGACCATATTGAAGTAATATCTAGTAAGGGAGTGCAGAAGTTTTAATTTATGCCCAGAATCTAGTATCACTTTGCAGTATTACAGACCCTCAATTCAGTTTCCAAAAGCTCTAAAGGTCTATTGAAGGAATACAATATATCAAATCAGATGCTTGCTGATAGCACAGCCCATGCTGATTATAAGTTCATTTACAAATTTAAATTTATCCTACGAATAAAAAGGGGCCAAGGTGAGTGTAAAATGGCTCCTGCCATAAACTATTGTTACCCCTTTTAAAATTTCTTTCTTAGTATTTGTATGCTTGTCTTATCTCCAAAAAAAAATCCTTCAAAGAAAAGAATAAGTAAAAATAATAATAAATATTAAATAAATAATTGAATAATAATAATAAACTTAAATCTTGAATTTTTGAGACAGAGGCATGGATTTGTTTACTAAAAGTATGACTTCTTGTTCACATATTTACCCCACTCAGTATAGAAGGAATGATCTTTATTTATTTTTATTTTTTTTGATATCCAGGCATCCAGTAACTAAATCTTGGAGTCTACACCTTGACCCCATAAGCTGCAGACAGGTTAAACTGCAGGTTGTGTCCCAAACTGACCAGTGCTCAAGAGCCCCCAACTGATCTGCCAAAGTGTCAAGCAAGTTGTTTTCCATCTTTGCACCTTGCCTTTGAGCTCCTGCTTTTCAGGATAAATCCTGCCTTCCAGGAGAATAACTGCCTTTCAAGAGAATTCCAGGAATCGAACTCACCAAGAATGATCTTTATTTTAATTTTCACCAAGAAAACTTTTAACTGCCAGATTTCTGGAGGGGGGGGGAGTGGGGAGGAATCTAATATGAAGTGAATTTAAAAAATAAGATACCAGGCTGAATAATTTTAAATTTATAAAAAGTAAAGGAAATATCAACCTCCTCACCAACCCCCAACCCGACCTACTACGGAAAAATAAATAAAAAATCAGATTTATTCAACCTATGGGAAAGGAGAAAATGAAAAAGGAAATCTTGAAAACAGTTTCCATCATTTATAAATTGCGTTCAGATATTAGCAACCTAAAGAAAATGCAAAAACGCACGCAATAATTTCTGCATACATATATTTATTCACGATCGCACGTAATAACTGCTTGCGAAGAACCCATGAACATGTTCCAAATACTTATATTGCACCGATCAGAATATATACAACAAACATCGAATGTACAGTGACCTGTTCTTCGCCCATTAGAGTCTGAAGTCGGGCCTTTAGTTTAGGTCCGTGACGCCCACCGCTTTTGGAGTTAATAAAGACAACCAACGGAGACTCTGGAATCTGAGGCGGTTCGGCTCCAGCCACGTGAGGCTTTTCATAAAGCTGACTAATAGTATCGGCTTCAACATCCTTGGCTTCAATAGCTTCCTTCATGGCAAGCCTCAAATACTCCGGCATCATAATCTTCTTCTTCAGCTCCTCTTTATGGATCATAACGCCGGAAAAAGTGCAGCTACGTAAGGAGTCGATGATGGAGGACCGACCCGATGCGGTTGATGAACCGCCCCGGGTTGGCGCTACCAGGGAACTCATTTGTGTAATTTGCGTAGTGTTTGGAAGTGCTTTTATGAAGTTTCAACTTGTGGTCGTCGACTCGTCGGCGGTGGTGACGGGGAAGAAGGGAAGAAAGTGTGGGACTGTGGGGTTGGAGGGAGAGGATACTGGAAAATATTATGAGTTTTGAAAAATGACTTTTTTATGTTAGTGGGGGTCTCAATAAGACGCGTAAAAAGCAATTGAGGTCACCCAATTTTGAGACCACTTTAATTTCAGTCCATTCAAATTTTTCTTTCAAACCGATTATTGTAATTGTAATTTTATTTGAGTTTGATAACAACACTGATCCTCGAAACAAATTTATGGTCCTTTTTCACATGGTGACTGATTTTCTTACGTACACAATTTAATGATTCTAGTTTATGGATGCATTAGTCCTAGCTAAATTGGACATCGACTCAAACAAAGGCAAGGATCAAATGGTCAAAATAGAGTTAAACCTATGTTCAAAAAATAAGAAGATGAAATAAGAACAAACTTTAAGGCTGAACGATCAAATCAGTTTTGGATGGTAAACTAGCTGGTTTGAAGATGAGGAAATTATACCACGCCTAATTATTAACTTTTTATCTCAATAGTCAAATACAAAGATTTTTCTTTCAAAAATCAGGTGCACCTCACATCCACACTGACGCCTACTCTCACTCTTTCGAATAATATGTGATACTCTCTCTCTCACTACACTTTCTCTCTTTATCTACAGTGTGGATATGAGGCGTCTCCACCATTGACTCCGCCCTTTACGAAAATAACTATTGTACTACCCTAACACCCCATCCCACCTCATGCAACCCCCATTTGTCATTTAATCCATTTTTTCCTATTTTTCAAATCTACCATCTACCTTCGACCTTCATCCACCAACGATCGCATGTCCTCATTGCCATCACCATTCACAACATCACCTCTAGAGGACCTCAACAACACAAAGATTGAGAGCATCGGGTCAAACATTTGATGGTGAATCGAACTGCACTAACGATGAAGCTGTCTATTAATGATGGTTGCTCGTGGCGTTTTACAGAGATATGTAGATTTGTGATTGATTCTTTAGGGATGAAAAGGGAAGTTTTCAAATGAAATGGCTACGACGATGAACACGTGTTGTTCGTAGTGTTGCAGTGTTATATACAAAGTGGTAATGTTGGTTGTGCGTAGGAGGTGGAGGTTGAGGTGCGGTTTGGTGGTTGTGATTGAGGATTGTGGATTTGGGGTGGCAACGACAATTTGGTAGTGGTGAAGTGGGTGGAGTGAGGGTGAGGAGTCATAATGATTAGTTAATTGGATAATTTGTGGCCGATTAGAATATGTGATTGTGACCAAAATACATGATTCTGATCAACAAAATGTGTCTTTGTGATCGTGATCTCATATAATTTGTAACTCGTATGTGATCATGATTATAAATTATGTGTCTATTGTGATAGTGATCATAAATTACACGTTTATTGTGATTTTGACATGTTTGATTAAACACATGTAACAAAATTTTTTCTAATGTCACAAATTGTGATTACCTAATTTTGGAAGGAGGTCATCAAGTTTCTTAATTTTGAAAGTATATCTTGAAAGTATGTAGTTATGTATCATTCTCTTTGAAAATTTATATGCATATACAGTTTCTATTTTTTTTATTTTTTTTTTACAACTAAATCGTATTTCATACGAAATTCTAATGAACTCATCTAAACTTCGTCCAAGCTTGAAGCATGGCCTTTGTTGTCTTGCTATGCTTTGCGCTTTTCTATGCACGAGTCCACTTAAACCTGTAAAAACTTGAAAGTTAATTTTGCCGCTTAGCCACACCATGCGGATATCAATTTTTTATTTTATCCTCTCTTTTTTTTATTTTTTTGGTCAAACTAGCCAATTATGTCCTGATTTTAAGAATATTGATTTACATGGCATACACTTGTGCTTAGAAACTCATTTCAATTGGCACATCTGTTGTATTATGCCACTATGGCATAATAGACTAATGTCAATAAGAGTTCATATAAGAAAAATGACTTTAAATTATACAATTGAATCATTAATGGTGACCAAAATGAAACAAAATTAGATGTATATAGAATAAAAAAATTACATGAACTAAAATGAAATTATTTTCAAAATTGAGTGCCAATAAGACTGGTCGTGCATTCAAGCATGGCATGGTGTTGCAATGACAGTGTTTTTCTTCTTATTTTCCTTTTCTGCACGGCGCGGTACGTGTCTGACGGTTTTGAAGACTTTAATTTTATTATTTCCACCTTTTTTTTAATTTTATTATGTTAAACAGATACTTTTATTAATATTATAATAATTTTTTTTTTTAACTTTTATTAGTAAAAAAATTTATTTACATTTAACTAACTTAGAGCCTGTTTGGGAGTGATTTTGAGAATTGATTTTTTGACCGTTAGAAGAAAAGTGGGATCCACCTGTGAGAGAAGAAGTCAAATATGACGGTTGAAATAGTGAAATAACGATCAAAAAATCAATTTTTTGGACCAAAAAATCACTCCCAAATAGGCTTTTACTAAGTTTAGGTAGACATGCCGAGATTTCTATTGTAAATATCAAGTGATTGTTGACTAAACATGAATTCAGAGTGTGTTTAATTGCAAGTATGAAACTTGTATGAAAAGAATTTGATTTAATTATTCAATGTAAAAAAATATTATACTTGGTCATCTTTTATTAATCGGTAAATGATATAGCAAAGTAGATGAAAGAGAGAAAATGTGAATTACTTGAAAAATAAAAATTTACTCCACATTAAAGAAAATAGTTTTTCTTGTTTTTGAATAAAGTATGGTCACATGACCAACTTTTGAAAAATATTTTTTATGAAAAAATATCAATCTAATATTCAAAAGTAGGAACTTGAGTGAAAAAAATAATATTTTTCTTGAAAAATAAAGTCAATTAAATACGACATAATAAAAAAATGTAATTTTACAAAAACCTAGTGAGAAGTTTTATGATTATAATTTATAAGTGAAATAAAATTGACATCGAACTGACCATTTTGCATTTTCTAGTGGTTGAGATCATATATCGATCTCCATTTCAGACGATATTAATAGTTGTAATCTCATTTCTACATGACTAAAGTTATGTCTCGTGTTCAATTTTGATTTTTAAGAAGTAATTTTGTGAAAAATGATTCCTTTAAAAAATGTCTACATACTCAAGAAATGAAACGACACAATACAACACAGCCAAATATGACTCGATATTCACCAATAGATATAAACGAATGGTTAGTAATTAGGTAGTATTTGTGGATCAAACAAGTGTTTATGAATTATGGCTTAATTTAGGATTTACGCATTATGGCTTATATAGTTAGCTCCTGTTTGACCCGTATTCTATAAAAGTTCATTTTTTTTCTCAAATTCATTTTCAATCATATATTTTTTCAATAAAATAATTTTATACGTAATCAAATTGTTTTTTTTTTTGAACCACATATTCTTCAAAAAGATCATGATTACAAAACTTATTTTTTCAAACAATGGAGTTCAAACATACCCTTAATGACTAATTGCACTGGTGGAAAGATATAATGCAAATAAATGCAATCAACTGCCAGTTGTTGAATTGGTTAGTGTGGACCTAAACGTGCTACCGAATAAATTCCACATAATTAAAATCTATTTGAAAATCACATTCGTGGTCTAGAAGATACAAACAACAATTAAGCAAATGTCGACAATATATATATATATATATATATAGAGAGAGAGAGAGAGAGAGAGAGAGAGAGAGAGAGAGAGAGAGAGGAGATTCTTCACACCCATTTAGCTATGAAAAGCATGTATTTTTTCATAAATTGTTTGTTTTATTGTATGTCATGTTCACTAAATCAACAATGCATCTTGTACTCTGCTATAATGTCATGGAGTTTCGTTGTCTTCTAACATAGACTCGTCACTCATCTAAACTCTGTTGACCCATGTGGGTTGAGTAAAATTCTTGATCGGGACTCGTTTAAAGTCTTACAACAGTTTCAAAGGGCCTATACCACCGTCGTAGCTTCCAACTAAAAGATGAAAATAATTTACATGAATAGAATCCAATCAATTGAAGCATATTATAGTTTTTTATTATTTTGAAAATTCAAAACATGAATAAGGTTATCCTTTTCTATTTAATAAATAATAGGAATTCAATTTTCACTCAATTGGCCAAAACATTCTTTAAGTGTTTGTATCTTGAAATTCGAACTCCATTTTCACTTTCATATCAAATAGCCAAAGTAGAAAACGAATTCCTCAAATGTGTCTTTTTCCATGGATTTTAATGCTATTAAATGGAACCCTAATTGTAATTCATCCTATTTTCTAGTTTTGGTACAAAATATCCAGTTTTCAGGTTGTGTACTTGTGTAATAAATACTTGCATCAACTTGGTGTTAGTTGTGACGTTGGTATAGCTGTCTTTTCTTCCCCGTTTTAAGCTGTGACATGATCAAAGCAATCTCTTTGGACCATTATTTTGTTCGAACTTTTACTTGAAACTCCATTTGGTGGGAGCATTTAATAAGGGATACAAGATGTGGTTGGAGGAAGCTGGCTTTCTTTTGTATTTTGCTTTGTAATGAATATTATACTGCATTTCGAAATTGATACTCGTTTGACTTTTAAACAGATTTAATCAGTGGTGGGTCGAGAATTTTGAGTCAGTACTAGTGGTCGTTGATTGTCAACTACAGTAAAATATTAAAAGCCCATTTGATGTCATTTTTTCTACAGAAAAATAAAATAGTGATTTGATGGAGAATGTGTGATTAAAAATAATAAAAAAATTTGAATTTGTGTGTAAAATATTAATAGCCCATTTGATGTCCTTTATTTGCAAAAAAATAGAATAAAAATAAAAATGAATTTTTAAATAATAATTTGATGGAGAATGTATAGTTGAAAAGAGGAGAAAAATATATATTTTGAAATAAATGGGAATCAAACAAGGCTTAAATGAAATATAACAATTACTTTGTTTAAATTTAACATATATAATTTCTTTATAACAGTACTCACCAAATAACATTGTTGTCAAATTTTGTATAATTCAAAGGAAGGGCATGAGTTTAAATCTTTACACCGCTAAAACCTAAATTGGTTGGTAAGGGAGTCAAATCTGAAACTTCCAATATGTACATGCAAGCTTTAACCAACTTGCTTACGGAGTTAACATAATAATATAGTGCCCAAAAATCAGGGTAACGATCAATTAGTACGACATGCAGTGCAGCAGTTGAGGTAATAAATTCCATAAAAATGGTTTTTAATCTAATGTAACCTACATTAAAATAAGTAGAAGTGCAAGTAAACTATACAATTTTTCATTGCCAAAGTCGGTCACCGAGCCATAAAATTTATTACAATAACTACAAATTAACCTTATTTTCATTTTTCTAATTAAAAACGTCTCTCTTTTAAATTCAATAGAGTAACCGCAATGACACTCGACTTTGACTTTTAACTTTTGGTTTCAATTTTTCATCAATCCTGCTGTGTGTACAGCAAGCTTCATACAGAAGCCTGCCAGAACACACACATAGGGGGTGAAGGTATTTTTTGACAATTTTTTATTCACGGTGGGTCCCATACATGAGAGTAATCTGATCAAATTCTGTGGAAAAATTTCTGTACAAATGGCTTAATACATTTTTCATAGTGTGTTCGGTTAGACTTGATTAGTAGCTGAACTGAAAACCTATCCATAGGGGCGAACCAATCCGCAAGGCAATATAATTTGAATTGACTCATTCCTAACTTTTTAATATACCTGAGATACTCACCCGTTTTGACTCCTTATCCCCTTCTCTTTTATTTATTTTGTGAGAAGTTATTAGTTTGATCTTAAAATCATCTAGAGGGGATGAATAGATAAATAATGTGGAATTAAAATTATCAATTAAAAACAACAAATTGCTTTTTAATTGTTTTATATGTTTAGTCAATCAAGACAATTTTATTATATGTTGAATTGCTCGAATAGTCAATAAAGCAGTAAATAACATATGATTAAAAATTTCGGAACCAAGCCAATGACTTTCAAAATAAACAATAAGAATTTATAATATGATCCAATCTAGAAATCCTACTAGACTAGCTGATCTAATTCTGTAATCTCCAAAATTCGCTGGAACGTGCTTCACTCATGTCTACTCCCGATTTTCTAGAATTGTCCATTTTCTGTGAATTCCTAAGAACACCTTGTTCTTGTACTTTTTATGTACTCTCTCAATTTTCAACAACCTCTGAAAATTATTGAGAAAGTACCTTCTTGATTATACTTAAAAAATGAGTGTTTTGGATCATGTGATTTTGATATTTTTCCCAACTTGTGGTAGATTGATCTCAAGATGTAAAATAGTTGTTTTCTGTCCAAATGATATGTAGAATATAATGATCAATCACCTTTCTTTTTTTCTTTTTTCTTTCTTTTTTTCATGAAGTGGGCATGTATATTTAGAGTAGAGAGGTATTGGGGTAGTATATGATACTCTTAAAAATCGAGAACTAAAGTTTCTCGAAAAGCATCGTCACTCGAGCGCCAGGCGAGCGACAGTTATGTCTCTCAAGCTATAGTCGAGTGACAATGATTTTGTTTTGGATGCTCGAGTATCAGCTTGACGACGAGCTAACATAATTCCAACAACTCTTTTTCCACGTTCCATATTCTCACTCAAAGACTCATAATTCATTTATACAATATTCCAACAAACTTCTTGATTTTTAATACTCTTCTGTAATAACCGTTTTGTCTAAAAAATAGCCAATGCAATTAAAACCTAACAAAAACATTTAAGGGTAGTTGTTTTTCATTTAAAAGAATTCGCATGGACAATTTCCAAATCCAAATGCACATAAGTATTGGATCCCAAATCTTCATATGGTTTTCATTTGTTTTCAAAGGCAAATGGACCCTCAATCTCCAATTCTTATGGATGATTTTAATTTTATAAAGTTTCATTCCCCTTCAAAAATCATTTCGATTGCCACAAGTGACAAAAGTGAGTAAAGAAATGAAAATGAAGGATATAGGACTTTTATTATTATTATTTCCTCCAAATTATTTGATACGTCTCACAATTTTCTTAAAATGATCAGTTTAACCTCCATTAAAATGTATGATGAGACATATAATTTTATTTTCGACTCTATGATTAGTTATCAAATTAATCGATCTTTAACAACTATATTTATTTCCTATTTAATAACAAAATCATAATTTCTGGTATGTCATAAATCTTTTCAGGTTTGAATCAGGTCATCCTTAGGTCCATGTAATATGGTTTGGGCTCGATTACACCTAACCTAACCCAACAAAATAAAATAAAAATAAATCAACAAATGGAATTTGACACAAATAGCACAAAATGGATAGTGAACTATATTCTATGTAAGAGCTCTACAAGTAACTTTCCATTGTGTGGTCATTTACTAGATCGAGATCATAATCAATCGCATTGCATTAACTACATTGTGTATAGAAATTGGGGTACCAATCGACCGTATCTCTTTATGACCATTCAATAAAGGAGATGTGGGGATTCCGCTCCATGATAAAGCATTTTTTCATTTAGAGAAAATTTTATACACCAAGGCTCTCTATTTTGAATTTTGCCTCTTCATTTTTTACTTTCAAGCAACGTCTGCTAATTTTTCCTTTTATTTTATCTGACATATATTTTTATTATATGTCTATGACCAATTAATTTAAATATGATTTGAATAATTTAAAGGATAGAATATTGAATTCTATAACTTATTATACACGATCATTATAAAATAAGAATATAATTTATTTGACTTGAATTTGAAGAGTAAGTCACTCAACACTATAATAGGTTGTTTTTCTATTAGATACGAGTTCATAACATTTGGTATCAAAGTCGGGTATGACCATTAGGGTTGGCAACGGTTCTGATCCGGTTCGATCAAAACCATCAATTTTTTTGTTATACCATAACCAAGTAAGTTGGTTCGGTTTAGTTCGGCTCGGTTCGTGTCTCAGTTTGGCAGTTATTCACCAAAAAAAAAAAAAAAATTAAGTCCAATTGTCAAATTGAAAAAAAAAAAACAATTTATGAAAAAAAAAAAAAAAAGTCAATGAAAACAAAAACACAATACTAAGCTAATTTAACAAACAATATCCCAAATAAAAATGTAAACAATATACCAATTCCTAAATGCAAAATCTTAACAAACAATTTCCAAATATATTTAATATTTGTGTGATAGGGTGCAGGGTTACTGGGTTAGGTTAGTTGGACTTTATTGGATCGGTAATGGGCCAGACTTTTAGACAGAACAAAATCATAGAAAGAATAATGAAAAGTTAGTTACCTAATTAATTATTTTTTAACTGATAGTTGGTTTGGAGTAGGATGACGGCGTAAATACCATATCCATCCAGTCCTAAACGAGGGCACTAAAATCAAATATCATATCCACCCTATTGCGCCATTACTTTGATTTTTTTTGTCCCATTTGGTTCGATTAAACGTGATTTTTGATTTTGACAGTTCGAATTGTCATCCCTAATAAAATTCATGTCAAGTTAGGTACAATATAAAATGTGTACTTTGAGATGATAGATGCAAACTTACTGGGGTCTCAATTTCTCGTACTGACATTGCAAACGAGAAATATCATGCAAAGATAGTATTGGGTGGTGAGCAAAATATACAGTCTCTGATTAAGCGAACAAAAATATGATCACCCGAGACGTCCGTCTATATGGTGGCAAAATTCTGATAGTGATGAATAGCCAGGAATGTTCTTCACATATTGATCCTATTCTTGAAGCTGGCGGATCCTTTTCGCCGAGTCCATGGTATATGTGGGTTGAGAAGATATTCGACACTCTTCTGGAATAAATACTGTTACGGTCGTTCGAGAGCTACAGGGCTGAGAGCTCGATCCACATTTGATTATGTCCCACCTAGCAGCAGCTCATCCTGTATCGATTATCGATTCACAGTGATCGAGCAAATGTACCATAACAATTAAATTTGATGCTAAGAATGCATTCAAGAAAGCATTACGTACTCTTTTTGGCTGCATTTTCCTCTAATCTTAAGTCATTTCTATTTTCCCATCGATCAATTTATACTATGTTAGCCTCAAGCACAAAGTTAATATTAGAAATTGAAAGAACAAATCTATCCTGCTTCAAGATTATACGAATAACTCAAAACCAATCTGAAATTACTTAAAAAAGTACAAAATGAGAACCCAGAACTGTAATGGACATTGTCAATGGATCATACAGTACTATGAACAAAGAGAGAACTAACATTTCTTTCCTGTGGTGGGATGTAGGAAAAACCTGGATCAAGAATTTTTTTAAAACTTCTATTGGTTTTGAGAGGTCTGGTAAATTTTCTGTCTGTACAAAGCTGTGTATATCTCCCCGTCTCTAGATCACACTGCATGCAGATATGGTAGTCTCCACACTGTTGAGCAAACTTGAAGCTTCTGCTTTTCTTTCCTGTCATTCATATTGAGTCTTCAATCGAGACTTGATTATGAGGAGACTTTGGTACTTGACGTGCTGATGCAGCTGAAAGGCCTTGAAGCATTTTGATGACTTCGTCTGTATCGTCCAGATAATACTTTGCCATACTCGGTTTCTGACCGACGGTGCACGCGAATACTTCTGCTGTATCAGGCAATGAATGGCTGGCAACTGAACTTGCGATGCTCTCGAACATATCCTCATCAGATCTGTCGTCCCCTATGCACAACACAAAATCGGGTGGCTTCCCGGTATTCCTCATGGTTGTAATGAGATTCTCGACGACCACGCCTTTGCTCACACCCTTAAGCACATCAAGAACATACATCATATCAAAGATGAAACAGATTTAAGAACTGTATCGGTCGTACTATTCTATTCCACATATTTCAACATTACATAATCTAATCGAGAATTAGAGACATTTCTTGAATCCTAAACATGAGGATTCAAAATCTTTCATGAAACCCTTTTAACAGATTCAGCATTTTAAAAAAGTCAGTTTCCTCAGCTTTTTCCGGGGCCCAAATAACTCAAGTTTTAACTACAATATTTCAGGTCAAAGGTGTAATATAGTGATAGAAAGAAAAAAACTCTCTATAATTATGAGTTCTATTGAACCCAGAAATCATGCATTGGAAGAATCCGCTATTGAGTATTCCAATGTGCAACATCCATCGAAGGAGTTGGTAAGGGTGGGGAGAAACAGATTTCCACGATAAATTTTGAGTTTGTTTTATGATCACTACCTGTGGTTTCACCTCAACAATGTGCTGGCCTCTTTTAACAACCACGGGTTCATTAGCAAGCACGCTTTCCAAGTGATCAAGAAGCTCTTTTGCCTGCCATGTGCCAAAGTCGGGGTCGGCTTCTTGATGATGCCACACTAAAGCACTCTCCTTTTGTTCAATCGATGAACCGTCAGTAGCCTCCGTATAATGCTCCATTATAGGCAAAACTATGTTTTTCCAGCTCAAGTCGACGACTAAACCGCAAGATTCCCATGCAGAATTCGTAGGCCACCTAGCAGAAGAAAATGGTAAATTAAACAAGGAAAAAACACACACAACATTCATAGTCGTACATAGAGTGAAATATTACCAGGTGAAGTAGCCATGTTCTGCAGATAACCCGAGTCTCTCACATGGAGAGAACCACTTTTCTAATGAATCCTTCCCTCTGCCACTAACAATAAACACAACATTCATTGGATCATTGCATAAACCATTCAAGACGGAAATAACTGCACGGCATGGAGATTTGTCAATTAGATCTTGTGGCATCATGGTACCATCATAGTCGAGAAGGATAAGCCTACTACTAGTATTCTTATATGCAGAAACAATGTGTTCCACAGAAAGCTTCCTGAAATGAGGCCCCAAGGCGACAACTCGGATATTCAAACCAAAGCCAATGCCCCAACACCTGTTTTCGTAATACTGAGCACAAGCTCTTTCGAGGTCCTGATCAAAACTCCTGGCCCAATAGGCAACATCATGCGATGTAACATACTTGTAATGTTTCTCGTGGCGCAGTTCTTTCTCCAAGTCCTGCATTGAAATTGCTGAATGCATGGCCTCGGCCACACAACTGATGTTCCATGGATTCACTCGAATTGCACCACTTAGAGATGGAGAACATCCTATAAATTCCGAGACAATAATGACACTTTTCCTTGGAGCGGCTGATCCCTCAAGTCCCAACACCTCATCCAAATAAGGGCTACCCTGCCTAGATACAGTGTACTTATAAGGCACCAAATTCAATCCATCCCTCACAGCATTTACCACGACACACTCAGAAATCACATAATACGCAACCTTATCTTGAAAAGAAACAGGGCCATTGATACAAACAATTGGTTCATAGTCTGCACTACCATATCGTCGATTAACTTCTGTCGCAACATTATTAATCTCGTTTTGAACCTCTTGGATATCATTTCCCTGACTCCTTGGGGAGTTCATAATTTGAACCAAAACAACACTTCCCCTATATCTCGGATTCTCGTCCAAAAGCTGCCCAAAGGCTTCAAACTTCAAACCAATACCCTTAAACATGTCCACATCATCTACACCCAACAACACAATTTTCCCATCATACTTCTCCTTCAATTCCTTAACTTTCTTAGGAGTGTCCGGTAACGACATAATTGATTCAATCTGACCCATATGAATTCCAACAGGTAGAATTTTAATACTAACAGTTCTACCATAGTAATCTAGACCAATATACCCCCTCTTGGATTGGTAATCCAATCCAAGCATTCTACTACAACATGATAAGAAATGCCTAGCATAATCAAATGTTTGGAATCCAATAAGATCACAGTTTAAAAGGGCCCTCAAAATTTCCTCCCTAACAGGCAAAGTTCTATAAATTTCAGATGAAGGAAAAAGACTATGAAGGAAAAATCCAAGCTTTACTCTATTGTACCTTTTCCTCAGGAAAGTAGGTAGCACCATGAGATGATAATCAAAGAAATGCCTAGCATAATCAAATGTTTGGAATCCAATAAGATCACAGTTTAAAAGGGCCCTCAAAATTTCCTCCCTAACAGGCAAAGTTCTATAAATTTCAGATGAAGGAAAAAGACTATGAAGGAAAAATCCAAGCTTTACTCTATTGTACCTTTTCCTCAGGAAAGTAGGTAGCACCATGAGATGATAATCATGTACCCAAACATAATCTTCATCTGGGTTGATAACCTCCATAACCTTGTCAGCAAAAACCTTGTTTGCCGAAACATAAGCCTGCCACATGTCCTTATCAAATCTGACTCCATGATCAGGTGTAAAAGGCAACATGTAATGAAATAAAGGCCACAGATAATGCTTACAAAAGCCATGATAAAATTTGTTCATCAAATTCAATGACAGAAAGGTAGGCACACATTTGAATTTTTCATACAAAAGTTGACCCACTTCTTCTTGTTCTAATGGATCAATCTCCACCCTCAAGCACCCCACATACACAAATTCCACATCTGGTGAAAACCCATCTTTCATTTGTAAAATTAAGGCATCTTCATCCCAATCAAAGCACCATTTATTGGTTTCTGAATCTTTATATGCCTTTAGAGGTAGCTGATTGGCTACAATGACTCTTCTTTCTTGATGAACAGGGGCATCAGATTCTACCCCTTCATCACGATCATCAAAATCAGATATGATTCCCGGAACGGAAATCACTCTCGGAACCCGGGCCCGATCACCTCCACTCGAATAGTCATCGAGGTTCAACAGATTGAAATAAGATCTCGACAACATAATGAGGAAAAAAAAAAAAAAAACACCAGCATTTCTTGAATCCTAAACATGAGGATTCAAAATCTTTCATGAAACCCTTTTAACAGATTCAGCATTTTAAAAAAGTCAGTTTCCTCAGCTTTTTCCGGGGCCCAAATAACTCAAGCTTATTCCATTAACTACAATATTTCAGGTCAAAGGTGTAATATAGTGATAGAACGAAAAAAACTCTCTATAATTATGAGTTCTATTGAACCCAGAAATCATGCATTGGAAGAATCCGCTATTGAGTATTCCAATGTGCAACATCCATCGAAGGAGTTGGTAAGGGTGGGGAGAAACAGATTTCCACGATAAATCTTGAGTTTGTTTTATGATCACTACCTGTGGTTTCACCTCAACAATGTGCTGGCCTCTTTTAACAACCACGGGTTCATTAGCAAGCACGCTTTCCAAGTGATCAAGAAGCTCTTTTGCCTGCCATGTGCCAAAGTCGGGGTCGGCTTCTTGATGATGCCACACTAAAGCACTCTCCTTTTGTTCAATCGATGAACCGTCAGTAGCCTCCGTATAATGCTCCATTATAGGCAAAACTATGTTTTTCCAGCTCAAGTCGACGACTAAACCGCAAGATTCCCATGCAGAATTCGTAGTCCACCTAGCAGAAAAAAATGGTAAATTAAACAAGGAAAAAACACACACAACATTCATAGTCGTACATAGAGTGAAATATTACCAGGTGAAGTAGCCATGTTCTGCAGATAACCCGAGTCTCTCACATGGAGAGAACCACTTTTCTAATGAATCCTTCCCTCTGCCACTAACAATAAACACAACATTCATTGGATCATTGCATAAACCATTCAGGACGGAAATAACTGCACGACATGGAGATTTGTCAATTAGATCTTGTGGCATCATGGTACCATCATAGTCGAGAAGGATAAGCCTACTACTAGTATTCTTATATGCAGAAACAATGTGTTCCACAGAAAGCTTCCTGAAATGAGGCCCCAAGGCGACAACTCGGATATTCAAACCAAAGCCAATGCCCCAACACCTGTTTTCGTAATACTGAGCACAAGCTCTTTCGAGGTCCTGATCAAAACTCCTGGCCCAATAGGCAACATCATGCGATGTAACATACTTGTAATGTTTCTCGTGGCGCAGTTCTTTCTCCAAGTCCTGCATTGAAATTGCTGAATGCATGGCCTCGGCCACACAACTGATGTTCCATGGATTCACTCGAATTGCACCACTTAGAGATGGAGAACATCCTATAAATTCCGAGACAATAATGACACTTTTCCTTGGAGCGGCTGATCCCTCAAGTCCCAACACCTCATCCAAATAAGGGCTACCCTGCCTAGATACAATGTACTTATAAGGCACCAAATTCAATCCATCCCTCACAGCATTTACCACGACACACTCAGAAATCACATAATACGCAACCTTTAATCATGTACCCAAACATAATCTTCATCTGGGTTGATAACCTCCATAACCTTGTCAGCAAAAACCTTGTTTGCCGAAACATAAGCCTGCCACATGTCCTTATCAAATCTGACTCCATGATCAGGAGTAAAAGGCAACATGTAATGAAATAAAGGCCACAGATAATGCTTACAAAAGCCATGATAAAATTTGTTCATCAAATTCAATGACAGAAAGGTAGGCACACATTTGAATTTTTCATACAAAAGTTGACCCACTTCTTCTTGTTCTAATGGTTCAATCTCCACCCTCAAGCACCCCACATACACAAATTCCACATCTGGTGAAAACCCATCTTTCATTTGTAAAATTAAGGCATCTTCATCCCAATCAAAGCACCATTTATTGGTTTCTGAATCTTTATATGCCTTTAGAGGTAGCTGATTGGCTACAATGACTCTTCTTTCTTGATGAACAGGGGCATCAGATTCTACCCCTTCATCACGATCATCAAAATCAGATATGATTCCCGGAACGGAAATCACTCTCGGAACCCGGGCCCGATCACCTCCACTCGAATAGTCATCGAGGTTCAACAGATTGAAATAAGATCTCGACAACATAATGAGGAAAAAAAAAAAAAAAACACCAGCAAAATCTTGGATTTTCTTGACACAACAGATAAAGATCCCAATGTAGAGTAACTTCAGTATAAAAACAGAATAATCTATTTACTTCAAAAGGGTTATCTCTTCTTGTTTGTGTGTGTTAATCCAAACCGAAAAGTGTGTAAATTCATGGTATAAAAGGCAAGATTAATACCACCTAGTACTGAAAATGCTTTTTTTCTTTATTCTGTACAAGGAAAGCAAAATCTTGGATTTTCTTGACACAACAGATAAAGATCCCAATGTAGAGTAACTTCAGTATAAAAACAGAATAATCTATTTACTTCAAAAGGGTTATCTCTTCTTGTTTGTGTGTGTTAATCCAAACCGAAAAGTGTGTAAATTCATGGTATAAAAGGCAAGATTAATACCACCTAGTACTGAAAATGCTTTTTTTCTTTATTCTGTACAAGGAAAGTGCAAGGAGGATAAGAATGAAAGATGACCGACTTACAAATATGAATATAATGTACGCAATGGGTTTGGTTTGGAATTTATCGGCCAGGATTGACTATTACACCACGGGTTCATTAGCAAGCACGCTTTCCAAGTGATCAAGAAGCTCTTTTGCCTGCCATGTGCCAAAGTCGGGGTCGGCTTCTTGATGATGCCACACTAAAGCACTCTCCTTTTGTTCAATCGATGAACCGTCAGTAGCCTCCGTATAATGCTCCATTATAGGCAAAACTATGTTTTTCCAGCTCAAGTCGACGACTAAACCGCAAGATTCCCATGCAGAATTCGTAGTCCACCTAGCAGAAAAAAATGGTAAATTAAACAAGGAAAAAACACACACGACATTCATAGTCGTACATAGAGTGAAATATTACCAGGTGAAGTAGCCATGTTCTGCAGATAACCCGAGTCTCTCACATGGAGAGAACCACTTTTCTAATGAATCCTTCCCTCTGCCACTAACAATAAACACAACATTCATTGGATCATTGCATAAACCATTCAAGACGGAAATAACTGCACGGCATGGAGATTTGTCAATTAGATCTTGTGGCATCATGGTACCATCATAGTCGAGAAGGATAAGCCTACTACTAGTATTCTTATATGCAGAAACAATGTGTTCCACAGAAAGCTTCCTGAAATGAGGCCCCAAGGCGACAACTCGGATATTCAAACCAAAGCCAATGCCCCAACACCTGTTTTCGTAATACTGAGCACAAGCTCTTTCGAGGTCCTGATCAAAACTCCTGGCCCAATAGGCAACATCATGCGATGTAACATACTTGTAATGTTTCTCGTGGCGCAGTTCTTTCTCCAAGTCCTGCATTGAAATTGCTGAATGCATGGCCTCGGCCACACAACTGATGTTCCATGGATTCACTCGAATTGCACCACTTAGAGATGGAGAACATCCTATAAATTCCGAGACAATAATGACACTTTTCCTTGGAGCGGCTGATCCCTCAAGTCCCAACACCTCATCCAAATAAGGGCTACCCTGCCTAGATACAGTGTACTTATAAGGCACCAAATTCAATCCATCCCTCACAGCATTTACCACGACACACTCAGAAATCACATAATACGCAACCTTATCTTGAAAAGAAACAGGGCCATTGATACAAACAATTGGTTCATAGTCTGCACTACCATATCGTCGATTAACTTCTGTCGCAACATTATTAATCTCGTTTTGAACCTCTTGGATATCATTTCCCTGACTCCTTGGGGAGTTCATAATTTGAACCAAAACAACACTTCCCCTATATCTCGGATTCTCGTCCAAAAGCTGCCCAAAGGCTTCAAACTTCAAACCAATACCCTTAAACATGTCCACATCATCTACACCCAACAACACAATTTTCCCATCATACTTTTCCTTCAATTCCTTAACTTTCTTAGGAGTGTCTGGTAACGACATAATTGATTCAATCTGACCCATATGAATTCCAACAGGTAGAATTTTAATACTAACAGTTCTACCATAGTAATCTAGACCAATATACCCCCTCTTGGATTGGTAATCCAATCCAAGCATTCTACTACAACATGACAAGAAATGCCTAGCATAATCAAATGTTTGGAATCCAATAAGATCACAGTTTAAAAGGGCCCTCAAAATTTCCTCCCTAACAGGCAAAGTTCTATAAATTTCAGATGAAGGAAAAAGACTATGAAGGAAAAATCCAAGCTTTACTCTATTGTACCTTTTCCTCAGGAAAGTAGGTAGCACCATGAGATGATAATCATGTACCCAAACATAATCTTCATCTGGGTTGATAACCTCCATAACCTTGTCAGCAAAAACCTTGTTTGCCGAAACATAAGCCTGCCACATGTCCTTATCAAATCTGACTCCATGATCAGGTGTAAAAGGCAACATGTAATGAAATAAAGGCCACAGATAATGCTTACAAAAGCCATGATAAAATTTGTTCATCAAATTCAATGACAGAAAGGTAGGCACACATTTGAATTTTTCATACAAAAGTTGACCCACTTCTTCTTGTTCTAATGGTTCAATCTCCACCCTCAAGCACCCCACATACACAAATTCCACATCTGGTGAAAACCCATCTTTCATTTGTAAAATTAAGGCATCTTCATCCCAATCAAAGCACCATTTATTGGTTTCTGAATCTTTATATGCCTTTAGAGGTAGCTGATTGGCTACAATGACTCTTCTTTCTTGATGAACAGGTGCATCAGATTCTACCCCTTCATCACGATCATCAAAATCAGATATGATTCCCGGAACGGAAATCACTCTCGGAACCCGGGCCCGATCACCTCCACTCGAATAGTCATCGAGGTTCAACAGATTGAAATAAGATCTCGACAACATAATGAGGGGAAAAAAAAACACCAGAAAAATCTTGGATTTTCTTGACACAACAGATAAAGATCCCAATGTAGAGTAACTTCAGTATAAAAACAGAATAATCTATTTACTTCAAAAGGGTTATCTCTTCTTGTTTGTGTGTGTTAATCCAAACCGAAAAGTGTGTAAATTCATGGTATAAAAGGCAAGATTAATACCACCTAGTACTGAAAATGCTTTTTTTCTTTATTCTGTACAAGGAAAGTGCAAGGAGGATAAGAATGAAAGATGACCGACTTACAAATATGAATATAATGTACGCAATGGGTTTGGTTTGGAATTTATCGGCCAGGATTGACTATTACACCCCAGCATGAAGATCATGTTCATCTCTTTTATTCAGTCTTCAATAAGATCTTCCAACCCTTTTAATTTCTCTCTCTATATCTGTAGTCGAGCCTATTCTTTTATTATCACATGTATATATATCTTAAATGAGGATAGTTGGACAGTCACGCGTTATGGAACCTACGAGATAACGCCTGGCTTTATATATTTATATATTTTTTAGTATAATTTAATTAGCTGTATAAATTATTTTTCCACATTTAGTTCGATTATTGTTATAATTGTTTAGTTAAAAAAGTAGGTGAAAGACTAATTTTTAGTGAATTTCATTTTCGGTATTAAATTTTGGCTATTTTTAAAGCCAGCTAAACATAAATCTCGTGTCGATTTCAGTACTTTATTTTACTTTAACGTAAAACTTTTAACTTTTCAGTTAGTCGAACTAATATCTGTTAAAGGGGTTTAGTTCAGTTATTAATTTAAAATAAATAAAATTAAGTGACTTACAAAAAATTCGTAGCACTTTTGGAACTAAACCATGTTTTTAGTATTTTTTGTGTAATAATTTAATATAAAAACGATAATTTAGACATGGGAAGTCAAATATTTACAATTATTACTAGAAATATAGAATAAAGAATGAGATAAAACTAAATTTAATGTAACGATTTAGATAATGTTCATATACATTTTGAATTAGAGGCCCAATAGGCAACATCATGCGATGTAACATACTTGTAATGTTTCTCGTGGCGCAGTTCTTTCTCCAAGTCCTGCATTGAAATTGCTGAATGCATGGCCTCGGCCACACAACTGATGTTCCATGGATTCACTCGAATTGCACCACTTAGAGATGGAGAACATCCTATAAATTCCGAGACAATAATGACACTTTTCCTTGGAGCGGCTGATCCCTCAAGTCCCAACACCTCATCCAAATAAGGGCTACCCTGCCTAGATACAGTGTACTTATAAGGCACCAAATTCAATCCATCCCTCACAGCATTTACCACGACACACTCAGAAATCACATAATACGCAACCTTATCTTGAAAAGAAACAGGGCCATTGATACAAACAATTGGTTCATAGTCTGCCGTGTAGTTCATCGCCGTCACCCACTCGTGACTTAATTTATGCGGTGGTGTAATCAAATTGGTCCACGTAGCTGCGAAAATCATGGTTTTGCGTTAGGTCGGATTAGATAGTTATCCACAAGAATGGCTCGTACTGACTCCTTGGGGAGTTCATAATTTGAACCAAAACAACACTTCCCCTATATCTCGGATTCTCGTCCAAAAGCTGCCCAAAGGCTTCAAACTTCAAACCAATACCCTTAAACATGTCCACATCATCTACACCCAACAACACAATTTTCCCATCATACTTTTCCTTCAATTCCTTAACTTTCTTAGGAGTGTCTGGTAACGACATAATTGATTCAATCTGACCCATATGAATTCCAACAGGTAGAATTTTAATACTAACAGTTCTACCATAGTAATCTAGACCAATATACCCCCTCTTGGATTGGTAATCCAATCCAAGCATTCTACTACAACATGACAATATCTACTTCCTTTGAGTAGGTGTTGCCGGTTTAGTCCGGTCCTAATTATTAATTATTAGGAATTTTATATTCGCTTAACAATTTTATGTACAGTGGCTAGGATTCGTTTGACATAATTTTTGAAAAGTCAAAATGAATTTTTGAAATTCAAAGACTGCTTTCGAATATTTTTGGTTAATTTTATAAAAGTATTTTTCTAGTTAGAAAGAATTTTTAAAGTAAATTGATCCAATGTTGCTTTATTTAAAAGCTCTTACGGAAGATGAAAGTTCTTTGAAAAATTAGATTTTAAATATCAAATACAGGTAACTTTGCTCTTTTTACAAGAAATATGAATTCTGTCAATTAGGTCATAAGTATCTTCTACTGCAACATACTTCATATATACGAATGCTTATACATAAGTTAAAATTCGAACTAGAGTTAAGTCACTCGACCCGCGAGAGTGATCACGGGAATGACCGCGCCCTCACATGAGATGAGTGAGTCCCGTATGAATTAAAAAATTCCAACCCCATGTGTGTGCGCAGTCATCCACGCAGTCACTCACGCGATTCGTGTAGCATAACCCTTCGAACTAATTGTGTAGAAAAAGAAGACAAGTAATGACATTTTAATTTAAGCCAATTATTTAGTCATGTTTGGCTTACATTTCATAATTTATTCATTTTATAAATTTATTTTTAATCACATATTTTATAAGATTCATATGTTTATAAATTTTTTAAATATATATTTCATTAATTTTTATTCAAACCAAACAGGTGCTTAATATTTCCATATCGCAAATAGTCAATTATCTTATCCATTACGTCGGCCAATCGGATTGCATGTTTGCCTTTGAGTCATATTTAAATATTTAAAGTTGGGTCCATTTGTGTGGCCCAGCCGAATATGATTTGATTTCTTAAGATACGGCATTAATTAGCAGCCCACAAGACCTTTTCACTTTTCAAAAGCATGCTTATCATTAAAAAAAATAATAATAATTTAAAACATCATCCAATTTTCCAAGTATGAGAATATTCTAAGAATAAAATTAGATTAATAATATATTTTTGAAAATTAATTGGTTTAATACCAAAGAATATTACTACCTAATATTGTCTTTTTGTCCCTGGCGGCGCTAATTTTAGTTACATCCACGGCAACTCTTGTAATGGTTATCTAAAATTGTATAATCTATGATACGTGGAAAGATAATAATTTTGTCTCGATTTTTATTTTAAAAGATTATAAATGCTAAGAATAGTAGCTCGAACCTCTGTGTGTTGTTTATTGCTTGCATCTTTATGAAATTTGAAATTTAATGTTAACATGCTTCGTAAAAATGTGTCTGGTATGAAAATAAATATTTTCTCGTGCTCTTTTTGAGCTATATGGCCTTTGATGTTGTATTGAGTATGTGCTGAAGTTCATTACAAAAAGTCAACATCGTTCACGATGGTGAATTAAGCCCTTGTATGAATGTTTTTACTTTTTGTACGAGACTATTGCTATCCAGCACCCTTGGTAGGGATGGCAGTAGGTCAGGTTTGGGGTGCGGCACCCCGTCCCCGTCGCGTCTTAGCTGAGAGGTGGCTAGTCTCGTTTGTTGCCTCATTTATTTATTTATTTACATTTTCGAAATCTCAAGTTATGATGTTATTGAAGAATAAAATACAAATTTTTATAATTTAGTCAAAGGAGTTTAATAGTCAATATGTGCTCAAAAATACTAATTTTTCGCACCTTTCTTGGAAGTTTTGAACTTGACCAAATTGCAACAATAAAGTGCTTGATTCAAAAAAATTTCATGTTGAAACTTCACAGCAACTTTTATGAACCATTTCATGAATCTTTGAATAACAAAATTAAGAAAGTCTATTAAATGGGTTGATATCATTTCATGAATCTTTTAATAAAATTTCAGATTTTTTAATTTTTTTTCTCTTCACGGGGCTGGACGAGTTTTTTTGCCATCACTAACCCTTGGTGCTACAAAATCATTTTAGGTGATATTATGTAATAGACTCAATTAAAAGTATAATTTTATAAAACTCATTTAATTTTACATATCATATAACACCATTTCGTGTCACATCGACTAGTGTCACACGAGTGAAAATGAATAAAATTACTCTTTGTACAATGTAAAATTTCATACTTTTATTTATAGATTTCGTGGAAATTGATTATTTGACAAGTTCAAAGTTGTCTTCTACACAATTTTATATTAGAATTTACTAATGTGAAGGAAAGAAATTGTAGTTTCTTTGTTGGTGGATATTATCTAAATGGAAACTTTTTTCTGTTGAGTCGTCTCAAAGTCTGATGGAGACTGTTTGTTTGTGTTTTCAAAATATCTTTTTGCTGTTTCGTACGAAAATAAAGTTTCGTTTAAAATCACATATATAAAGCTTGTTCGATAGAGATTTTTTGATTATTAGAGATAAAAGTGAGTCTTATCTGTGAGAGAAGAATTCAAAAATGACGACTGAAATAATGAAATAACGATCAAAAAATTAATTTTAATTGACTTAAAATTTGTACCAAAACAAGCACATAATTTTAAAAGTATTGACCTACCATGAACCCCACCCAAGAAAAAAACAAAACCACAAAGTGGACCTATTTTAGCCAAGTTTGAATCCATTTGAAGAGTTGAAAGTTGGCTGATCAAAGGCATTTCCCATTTGAACTTTGAAAAAAGTTGTTTAAATCCCATACAACACGTAATTAACTCAAAACTTTCAAATTACCCACAGAAGACGAAATCGAGCAAGTCAATTATAGAGATCTTATCAATGTACTAATTTTGAATTAGTCGGCTTACTTTGAAATCGGGAATCTCTTTCATATTTATATAAAAATTTCTCTCTACTTTCATAAAAGTATTCCTCAAAAAAACTAATGAAAACATAATAATGATTGTAATTCATTACAATAAATAAAAACATTTTTCAAGTAGAATAGTTGCGATAAAGCCAAAAAGACTTTGATTCCAAGATTATATATGATGTTATGAAGTTAAGAGTTAATTGTTCACAAATAATTAACAAAAAAAATCTCAATATTTAGATCTATTTGATTTATATAAAAATTAATTTTATAATAAAATTTAATAGAAGTTAACTTGGAATATCTAGGTACAATACCTTAAAGCGTGATTTTCCATCTTTTATTTTCCTAGGGGCTATGTGGTTTTTGGTTTTCCACCTTTTTTTTTTAAAATTTTTGGCAATGGGAACAAATTCTAGGGACAATTGTAAAAAATGATATTCTTGAAATTGACAATTTTCATGTAAAACAAAGTCAAACAAATACCAAAATATAGATGATTTTTTGATCTTTTTTTCCTCTTTTTTTTTTTATTTGGTTGGCAATGGAAACAAATTTTAGGAACAATGATAAAAGTGGATATCTATTAAATTGACAATTTTCATATAAAACAAAGTCAAACGAACACCAAAAAATACTTTTTACTTCAACATTTTTCACGTAAAAACGTATACCAATCAAACACAATAATTTACAATTCCCAAGAAAACAATTTTTAGGTAAT